AAGAAAAGCTCGATACTGGGTGTGGGTTTAACTATCATATCATTATTTTTTCAATTTGACTTTTAGTTTTGGATATATATTTGAGGACAAAATCTATCATTGCTTTTATAACTACTGCCTGTGTTTCTGGTTCTTTTTCTTTGTTTATACAGCCATGACCAGTTGGTTACACATCTCTAGTTATATCAGCATCTCTGCCATCATCATCATGAACCCAATCGTCTTCCTTTCGAGCTTCTCGATACTAGAAAACCGTCGAGGAAAAATGATTGAATATCAGAGGATTGACGAGGATCCCAAACAAGGTTCCCAAAAACACCACCATCTCAAGCAGAATCTTTCAATGTCTGAAAAACTACACAGCTCGCTTAAAATGCTCCCAGAAGTCACTCAAATCTTCCTCGGCATTTTATTTCATGATCTTGTCCTCAGTGGCGTCACAACAACTATAGCATTTCCTGACTCGCCATTTTCCTCATCAGATCATTATAAATATTATCTTATCATGTCCTTTGCTGGTCTGTGTCTGGGCCGCTCGTATCTGGGGATAGCTGAGTACATCAAGCCTGGACTGTCTGACAAGCTTCTCGTACGTCATACGTGGAGTTTAGTTCTCGTCGCTTGTTTTCATGTTCTATTATTAATATTCGATTCGTTATTCAGATTCATACCTAATGTCTGGGTGATATTATTCTTAGTTTTTTCGCTTGGTTTCTGGGCAGAAGCGATTTATCTTAACGTTAATGTCATCCTTGGTGAAATCTCAGATTCAAGGGCAAGAGAGTTATCGATGGGATTAGCAGTATTCGGAGTGGGTTTTGGAGCATTGATAGGAGCGATTATATCACGACCTGTGGAGAACGTACTAGTGAAACACTGTGTACAATTTACCAACCAAACTAGCTTTTGTTTGACGAGAGAAACGACATATGTTTCGAAGTATTGAAGCGACGAATGACATTACCAGTAAGCTTGCAATGCGAAGCATTTACGGCCATGCCGGAGATTTCGGTTCTCACGCCGCTTTCCAGTTACTGATCTGGAGGATCGGCCAAAGCCTTAGGGAGAAGTTAGTTGGTTCCTCTTGAACGTAGATAGGACGTTTGCATGATGTGGCATCAATTTACTATAGTTGATCATGCGCAGCAATTCCAACCTCGAATTGGAACTATTATTCGTGGTCACTGAGCGGAACTGTAAAATGGAGTATTGATTGACAGCCTGACTGATTGATTAACTGGCTGGCTGACTGATTGTACATACTGATTAATCTAAAGCTCCACCGTTGAAGAAAAGAGGATACTGATTACGCTTGCCCCAACAAGTTGACCTCCGTTGTTTGCAAGACGGAAAGGAATTATGGTCATACAACCTCTAACTTCAACTTCCACTTCATTTTGCGCATCATATAATGCTAATAAATTTTAAGATAACATGAAATATATATTTACAGACGATTTTAAAATGGCTCAAGCGTCGTACTAGATCCTCAACACCAACCTTCGTGTTCTTGACGGGAATAATCAGAATAAAAAAGACAAGTTCAGTATTCCAGCTGTTTATCTTATCTCTGACTGAGATCGCGGGTGCTTACCATTATACATGTATGGACAAATGCGGGAGTTTAAATTTGGCTTGTTTTGGTACGTCTCTCCCATTTTTCTCTTGCAGTTGCTGTCTCAGGGCATTTATCGTCTCGTCTTTCTCCTGAAGTCTTTCTGTGAGGTTAGCATTCTTCTCTTTGAGCTGGTTAATTTCTTGCTTCAAAGCTGCCACGTTCGCTTCAAGCATCTGCTGATGATCGATCTTGCCCTGAAGTTCGAGTTTAAAAGTCTCCATCTCTGGATACGAGAAAAAGATAAGCAGTAGTTAAGCCCCTAGCAAGCGAGCAAGCGAGCAAGCGAGCAACCCACCAACAAACGAATGATTGAATGAACAATGAAATGGGCGAATGAACGAATGAAAAAATTAAAATAGTTTTTGTTCGTCTTACCTTGTTCACTCCATGTAACTATTTCCAGTAGTTCATTCCCCAAAAACCCTTGGACTCTAGATAGTATCAGGGCCTTGATCAGCATTTTCAAGCCATCCTTCCTCTTCTTTATAATGACTAATAAAGTTTCAGCCTTTTCTTTGGAGGTACCTAATGCGTATATTTTTTCTTTATCATGATCGCTCAACGCACCCTCTTGATACAGGTAGCCCAAAAGGTTKTGTRCTTCCAWGGTCTCGAGAAGTCGAACGTAATTTTTCTGAATTATTTTATTGTCTTGTTCGTTCATCACATCCATCTTCGTACATCAGAAAGCAGCCAAACTAATAAAAGAAACATGCTTTTGAGGATGTTCACAGGCATTGTTCGCGCGCATCCTTTCTACGCGGGCACCGCGGAAATACGATCGCTCTATCGTACTGGTCAGCGGCGTCTCAAAACAACTCACAAACTGGGGGACTAGGAAAGAAGAAGCGTATATAGACTCTTCCACAGTCTCTCGCTCGTCCGTTCCGTCTCCACGCTTAGAGACTGTAACGGTACAATGACTCGTTTCAATATTTTCAAGATGGCGGCGAAAAAGAGAGAGACTGTGGACGAGTATTTTGGTTCCCAAAGCACGCTGGGTCCAAGTTTTCGGGACCCATAAGTCCTTTCGGTCATTGTACCGTTACAGTCTCTAAGCGTGGAGACGGAACGGACGAGCGAGAGACTGTGGAAGAGTCTAGACGCGTATACCGCTGACCATAATGATCGAGCTTGTAAAAACGTATAATACCTAGCTTTCGAGGAAAAATTAAAAAAATCTGACGATGGGATCAAATCGAAATTAAATATTTTGTGCTCAATTGAAGGTTCCAAGTCCACACTTGTAGCCTGAAATAACATTGTGTATTTATAATGTTTCAAATCTCAACACAGGAAACCCAGAGTACTTTATTTTTTTATTTGTTTACCTACAGCCGGGCTCCCTGTGTCTCAGCCGGCATGTCACAGTTCCCGAGTCCGCTTGGTCTCGTGACTCGGGTCTAGTCCATAGAAAATTAGGAAAATAATGAACGAATACTCAAAGTATAAGGCTCAAAAAGACAACGCGTACTAGTAAAAGCTAATCAGAACTTAAATATATTTTTTTCTTTAAGAAAATCGAGTATAAATACGATAATGTAATGAATTCTGCAGATAGATAGACCTCAGCCGGCGTGTCCCTAAATAGACCGTGACTACTACTCGCGTGAAGTCGTTTGGTTATTCTATTTTAAACTAACATTTTCTATTTTAAACTAACATTTCCTTATTATTTCCTTGCACATTCTCTTAAGAAAGCCTGTAATAGAAAATAATTCGCTATGCATTGAATGTAACATAAATATGACATAAATTACCGGAATATTTGAAATGATCGTTAAATACGTTTCGTAGCCTCCTTTGCAGACGCTTTTTGTGTATAAATTAGCTGGCAAAGGTTAAATCTTAACAGAAATGCAAATTATTGAACCAAATAAATCCGAACTTTGCTTAGAAATTAATAAAAATGATCAGTTAATGCTATAAATGCTACTATACAAAAGCACTGATTCATGAACTGACTGTGAATATAAACAAGCGCTCCAGGCTTAAAACCGGCATTATTTTTGTTTTGTTAAAGCTTTAAGAGTTCCTATAGATCCAGTTGGATACTGAAGAGTCTTGGAAGAATTCGGAAATTACTTGTGATGTAAATCACGACCGATTTTGAAATTCTGTCGCTCGCTCACAATGCCTCCACTCCGATCGACTTCCCGACCTTCCTCCAGAATAATATCCATTTAAAGTTGTAAAAAGATATAACTAGCTAAAAACTAGTGTGAGCTGCGTCGGTGTTTCTAATG